TTGTCGCTGAAAGGAAGGGTATATAATGCCTGTGTGCGTTTCCATTTTTGTTGGACATCAACAGACTTGCTGTGTTTGACCATCGTTGTCTCCGCCAATTGGCCCATAATAAGTGGGCTGATCTCGTGAGCAATGTGGCAGTTCGCCGGCGCGTATTCCGGAACACTCGGGATGCGCGATCAATTGGCCAATTAATCACGGTACACAGCTTGCAATGGCTGGGTCACGTGCTGCTTATGTCATCTGATCGTTTACCGTACCGGGCATTATATTATGAGGCCACCAACAGTTGGGTGAAACCGCGTGGTGGACAAGCAACGACGTGGTCACAAAATATGAAGACCTTGACTGTTCCATCGAGCAAAGTGGGTAGGTGTCGCCTGCCTGGATGGTGTCCTCGTGATCGCTCACACCGCTGGTTAGAGACGTTATCCGAGATGGCGATGTGTCGCAGTCAATGGCGGACCTGTATTCATACCATTTCTAATTCATCCTGTTAGTCTTCTCTCATTAATTTTCAGCCTCCTCAGTAACGTTTTCTTCTAGGATATTCCACGTCACTGCTGAGGTGAGCGGCGGCCCGAGCCACAGTACCTTTGGGTCAGGCTCATGGCTGTTATGATGATGATGATGATGATGATGATGACCTGGGGAGCATAAGATTTTGTATGTTAATATAAAATCACCCCTCAGACGCCTGTAGGCTAGAGGGAATAGTTCCAGCTTCGAGAGACGGTCTTCATACGACAAAGAAAATAGACCCTCAACCCGCTTAGTGGCCCGTCTTTGGACTGCCTCTAGGGCAGTGACGTCTTTCTTCCAGTAAGGCGCACATGCCTGACTGTTGACTTCCAGAAGTGGCCTTACCAGTATGCTGTAGATACGTGAGAATCTGTCGACTGGGAAATTCCCAAGAAACTTACTAAGCATAGCTAAACCGCTGCTAGCTTTCTTTACCAACAGCATAGTGTTAGTACTATGGGAGAGATCTGATGTAACGACGGTGCCTAGGTCGCGCTCCTGGTGGACAGTGGCTAGGGTAGCACCACCGA